CATGTAACTTCTACTAGAATATTGAAGTGACTATATGAAATATAATGCAAGCTTATATGAAATATAATGCAAGCTAACTTTGCTTATATATGCAGAACAAACAAACACTTTGCAGATTTGGATTGTCCTGCATAAAGTATAATAAAATTAAAGTTAATGCAAGGAACCAACCGTCACACCGAAAGGAAAAATAGGCTACTACAGATAGAACCATTTGCGATACATGAATAAGAAAACAGAAATGATAGTCCCGTCCAAACGCCGCGTGCCTGGGCCTGCAGACCAGTCGGTCTAATAAACCTCACGTCCTTCCCCTTCCGTTGCTCCTGCCACCCGCCTCGCGCTGCTACTACTTCTCTGCCGCCGCGCGCCCCCTTCCTTTGCTCTTGCTGCTTGCCCCACACTGCTCGTGCTCCTCCTCCGCCGCCCGCCCCATTGTTCCGCGCGCTTGCCCCGCTGCTCTTGCTCCGCGCGCTCGTCTCACTACTCCGCCGCCCGCGCCCGCTGCGCCTGCTCCGCCACCCGCCCGGCCTAACGACGTCGACAGGCGTCGCCAACGCAAGGAGAGGTGTTAGGCCCTGGCACGGAAGCCCTCCGCCCTCGCTTGCTTCTACGGCTGTGGTGCCCCGATGCAGATGGCGGATCGAGGAGGCCGCACTGGGATACGATGCATGTTGCAAGCTCACATTTCAAATATTTCGGATGTTTTAGAGGTATGTTGTAAGCGTTTTATATGGATGTTGCAAAAGTAAATCGGGATGTTGCATATGTTGTAATAGGTGTACACGTATGTTGCAAGAGGCTGTCTCCAATGTTTCATTTGTTTTCCAGACGTATGTTGCAAGCGTATTTATTTGGATGTTACATATGTTTTCACAGAGATATTCCAAGTGTTTTATCTGGATGTTGTGTATGTTTGCAATGGCTTGCAAGTGTTTTTCAAGTGTTTTTGTAAGTGTTTCCGACATATGTTTCAAGTGTTTTTTATATGCTGCAAGTGTTGCATCTGAATGTTTTAAAAGTAGATCGGGTGTTGCACATGAGATACACGTGGGAAGCTAGCAGGGACGCGAGCGGTCACCGTGGGCGTGTGACGTGGGCCCCCGCGTGGCCGCGAGATGCAGGCACGGGCGAGCAACGTCTGGCCAACGTGGGCCCATACGTAGACGCAGGAAAACGGACTGCAGCCGCGGGCGTCCGTCAGGACGTCCGGGCGCTTGCAGTGCTGATAAGAAAAATATGGATTAAAGTCCATCCATGAAATGGGGATAAAATTATTTAAACATTTCTTATTTTTGTTAGGTTCAAGTCTAACGATAATAATATTCTACTACTAAGAACTCATTTATTTTCAAACTAGTCCATTTACTAAATACATTTTTTTTGTCCTACATCAAGTCGAGTACTTGAACTCATGTGGACAAGTTCACCACAAAAAAACAACTAGTTGGGTTATAATGATATTTTATTTGCTAGTATTTATATATTATAATACTCCCTCCGTCCCTAAATAAATAGAAAGTCAATTTTTTTAGTCTTTAACCGAATTTCTAGAAAAAAAAATGTCATTAGATATACCATAGAAGATATTTTCATAATATGCTCATTTTATGTCATAGACGTTGTTACTCTTTCCTATAAAATTAGTTAAATCTAAGATAGTTTAACTTATATGGATTTTAGAATTGATTTATTTGGGGACGGAAGGAGTATGTCACTATTCAAAATGTTTTGGCAATTGTTTCGTGAGCGGAATGATGCAATAGAATTTTGAATCAGCATTTTGATCTTTGATTATCCTTCAGGGCTATTTTAGAAGAAGGGGAGCAAAACCCAGGGATGGAAAAACCACCACTAAGAACTAGAATGATATTTCCATGGATTACCCACCCAGAGAAGACTCAGGATCTCGAAGGGATCATAGTACGTAGTAATAATATCGATGTAGGGTTCAATTGGTAAGAGCAGTAATAATAGAATTTTGATTCAGGGTTTGATCTTCGGTTATCATGTTCAGGTGGTAAGAGTGGCCCGGGGTGGTAGTAGCCCGTTGTTTCCATGCTGAGTAATAAATAAGTAAATAACCACAACCTCTGATTGCATTTTTTTTTCTTTTTGACCTTGTTTGAAGACACTCATATCTATCTCAATCATTATGTATTAAGATGGATTAAGGTTGAAAATTAACTAATTTCCACTTTAATCAAGATTAATGTAAACACGAGTGTATCCAAACAGAGTCTTTGTTGTAGTGTTTTCTTTATCTGTGCTTTTGTGACCCCGAGTCCAAAAAAAAACAGTGAATCCCCGTGTCATAAGTCGTGACAAACAGGATTGTTGTCATGTAGTGTGAGTTCTGAAATCAACTTCCCATTCCCATATAACAGGAAAACTTGGTAGTTCATACCAACGTGAATGTAGTCGCAAGGTCGCACTGATAAGCTATCTTTATTTTGACAAGAAACGGGAAATCGTGATGTTCACGCGAGGCAGTATCATTGTCCTATTACGACAAGCTGTCTTGTGCTCGAGTTAGGCCTTCTGTTTTCTTCTTCCCTTCTCTTCGTCCTGTTGAAGAACAGTGCGTGTAGGTGGATGCTCTGGCAAAGTGGCAACCGAAAAGCGAAACAAACGTTTATTGCCTTGCCATGAGTTACGACATCACATCACCCTGCAAATTCTTTTAGCACAACAAACGTTTATCAGAAATTCAGAAGAAACCAAACACCGAGGAAATTGGCGAATCTGAATACATACATAGATACCATGTCTCACAATCTGAATATACTGTCTATATTTACCTGGCACCCCTGTTCTTGCTGTTTTCTTCATTCTTCCAAGATTTGCGTGCTCTTTTCACGAACGAGCACGTATTTCCAATTTTGCGTACGTGTGTTTCATTTCTGTTTGTTTGTGCTGATATTCAATGCCCCAACTGCTAGCAAGATCAGATAAGACTGTCTACCCTGCCATCTCACTGGAATGCTCGTCATTGCATTTTTTTAAAACAAATCATCACTTCATATATTGCGTCGGGTATCCTACAGCCATTTCTTGTTGGCGATGGCCCCCCTTGTGCCAGCTAAACTCACGTGGAGATGGGAGGACGTCGATGTCGCGGTGCCCAACTTATGAGCCCCCTGTTGCTGTGTTGCCGTTTTCAGTTCAGATCCCCCGCTCAGACTGCCTGTGGCTTTGTTTTGCCAGTCGCGACTGAACCTGCACCGTCGACGTCGAGCCCCTGTTGCCGTTGCCGATGGATCGCCCTGGAACGACCCGAGCGATTGATCGATAAAAAGTCGGTGATTTGGACTGAAACCGTCGCCGTCGGCCGTCCGGGGGCTGCCATTATAAGCCGACTTATTAGTTATTATATTTTATTTTTCTCTTCTAATAAATTAATCGTATAAATCAACACAAACGGCTTATAGACCAGCCAAACACATGTCATCGCGTCTAGTTGAAAGCAATCGTGCCCAACAGCCCCATGCCAGCAAAGCGAACACATCATGCCGTAGAATTAAACTGGAGCAACTGTCGAGATAATCCTATCCGGACTACTGCTGTGACGTGCGTGCGCTAGTTGTGGCCGATTTGCCTGACTGCCCTGAGGCCTGCGTCTTTCTTGCCATGCACAAGCCGACTGTGAGAGAAAGCGACCACGTCATGGGAGGAGGACGTCACCGCACGCTCCACGTCATGGGATTCCCGCAACCACAAATCAGCCCCCAAACATGCGTGCGGCGTGCGTAGCGTGCGCGCAGAGCGCTTCCGGAACTGCAATTTCCCCCCTCGGTGCAGTGCAGGCCGCAGGCGCAAAGCGTGTTTGGACAAGAGAAAGCAAGCGGATCCACGGCTTTCCATGGCAAGCAATACCAACGGAGAGAGACATACCTGAAACCGGCAACTGCGCGTAATACGCCCCAAGCCCCATTTTTCTCTCTCGCAGAAAAGAAAGGGAGACCAAAAAAATTGACGATCGAGACAAATCGTGGCTTCTCCGGCGAATTTGGGCGCGTCACCGAAGCCTGCGGGTCCTCGCGTCGCCGAGCCCACCTCGCCACCTCGGCAGCCTTTTACCCGTGTATCCTTAAAAAAGATGCCACACTATTGCGTACCCCTCAAAAGTTGGTCGTCACCTACATGCCCTCGCTCGAACTTTTCTTTTCCCTCACGCCATTCTGTCTGCATTTGCTCCTAACGGTGGGGAACGGCTCTGGAGAATGACTCAGTTGCCCTTGGGCTTGTATAGGCGTCCGAACTTTTTCGTTTCCCCTGTGCCATTGCCAGGCCAATTGGCTTTAGCGCAAAAGACGCCGCTGTTGGCGTCAAAGGACAGGGATTTGGCGCCAAAGGACAGGGATTTGACACAACCCCCCGATCCTCTAACCCACGGCAGCAAGCTCGTGCCGGACCACACCTCTCCTGTCGATCCACGACGACGATGCAGCAGCTCCGTCACAGCCAGCCGAGCCCGTGTCTCCGCGGCTCGCGCTTCGCGGGCGCGGGGCGGGCGGCACGCCCGATGCTCGGTCCCGGCGCGGCAGCAGCTCGCCGTTCGCGGCCGGGAACCCTGCAACCGAGCGCCTGCCACGCCGCGGCCGCGTCGGGCCAGCCCCGTCCCCGTGCCGTTGCCGACTCGGCGCTGGGAGCCTCGTCGACGAGCGTGCAGGTCGGAGGCAAGCTGCTGCTGCAGAACTTCGCCGACGCTTCCGCCGCTGGGCGGGCACTTCAGCTCGCTCGCGGATGTCTACCGTCTCTTCGGCCTCGACGACGTTGGCCGGCTCCGGGAGGCCAAGGGGGTCGTCAACAGCGGAACACCGTTCCCCGTCGTGCCCCAGGTCATCTCAGGTCCATACTGCGATCGATCATCGTTTGCAACGATGCATGGTGTCATCGCGAATGTGCTCAAAGGGAAGGAAAAAAAATTGTTTGTTCGTCTGGTGCAGTGAACGGTGAACCCGACACACTGGCGGAAGGACGAGGAGTTCGCGCGGCAGATGATCGCCGGGGCGAACCCGGTGTGCATCAAGCGCGTCACAAGGTTCCCGCTGACGAGCGAGCCTGACCGCGGAGTGTTCGGCCACCAGGACAGCAAGATAACCAAGGATCATGTTGAGAAGAACATGGTTGCCATCACGGTGCAGCAGGTATATACACAATGGACAGCAAGATAAGCAGAGACCATGCCTGAAGAGGATAGTGGGTTCATGCGTGTATGTATGACCATGCATGCAGGCCGTGGAGGAGGGGAGGCTGTACGTCGTGGACCACCACGACTGGGTGATGCCATACCTGAAGCGCATCAACGAGCTCCCAGGCGACGAGGAGAAGGCCGAGGTGTCACAAAGGAAGGTGTACGCCGCCAGAACGCTCCTGTTCCTGAACCGCGACGACTCGACGCTCAAACCGCTCGCGATCGAGCTCAGCCCGCCGCACCCGGAGAAGGAGCAGCTTGGCGCGGTCAGCACGGTGTACACTCCACCGGACAGCGGGGACATCACGGTCACGGCCGGGAGGTTCTCGGCATGGGAGCTGGCCAAGGCCCACGCGCGCCGCCGCCAACGACACCGTCGAGAACAACTTCGTCACCCACTGGTAAGTACACTTTCATTCAGGGAGTCTTCTCTCCTACGTGGATCGTCCATCGATTCCTACACGGTCCTGGTACAAACAAGACGAGGTCAACATGTGTGTATGTCCGTGGTGTAGGCTCAACACGCACGCATCAATGGAGCCGATCGTGATCGCGGCGAACCGGCAGCTGAGCGTGCTGCACACGATCCACACTTCCGGAAGACGCTCCACATCAACGCCGTCGCGCGCCAGATCGTCGTCGGCTCGGGTGACCAGAGGAAGGACGGCAGCGTCTTCCGTGGCATACACGAGGTCACCTACTTCCCCAGCAAGTACAACATGGAGATGTCCTCCAAGGCGTACAAGGCCTGGAACTTCACAGAGCTGGCTCTCCCCAATGATCTCATCAAGAGGTAATAACACTACTGTACTGTACTACGTACATAATACAAATGACAGGTATTGATGACATAGCAACAGCATGCCATGTCACTACATGGCTATTCTGAATAATTCTGGTTGGTGCTTCGTTCTACAGAGGACTGGCAAGAGGGGACCCGAAGAAGCCAGAGACACTGGAGCTGATGATAAAGGACTACCCGTACGCGGTGGACGGGCTGGACATGTGGGCGGCGATCAAGAACTGGGTGGCGGACTACTGCGCCATCTACTACCCCAACGACGGCGCGGTGGCGAGGGACAGCGAGCTACAGGGGTGGTGGAGCGAGGTCAGGAATCCCTATCTTTTGGCGCCAACAGCGGCGTCTTAGGCGTCAAAGCCAATTGGCCTGGCAATGGCATAAGGGAAACAAAAAAAAGTTCAGACGCCCATACAAGTCCAAGGACAACTGAGTCATTCTCCAAAGCCGTTACCCACCGTTAGAAGCAAATGCCGACGGAATGGTGTGAGAGAAAAGAAAAATTTGAGCGATGGTATATAGGTGACGACCAACTTTTGAGGGGTACATATGAGTGTGACATCTTTTTTAAGGATACACAGCTAAAAGCCTCGCGCCCATCTGGCTATCTGCACTGCCCTAGTGAACAGTGACCTGTGTCACCTATCCCGCCTCCCAACTGTATTTTAATTCCACATTAAATTCCTCCTTTTCTCCCCTTCTCCATTACGTCAACGAAGTACTCCCTGAAACTTTAGCGAGTCGCTCTTACAATGTCAAATCAGTTTTGCACTGCCCTGCATTGCGTAGACTTCTTCCGTCATGGAATACAAGATGACCTAGGCTGTGTTTATTTCTCCCTCCTAAATTTTAGCTTCGGTCACGTAGAATGTTTGGACACATACATAGAGTATTAAATATAAACTAATTATAAAACTAAATACACAGGTTGAGTCCTCGCAAAAAAAATGCACAGATTGAGACTAATTTGCGAGATGAATTTTTTAAGCCTAATTAGTCCATGATTTAACAATATAGAGCTATAGTAAACATGTGCTAATGATGGATTAATTAGTCTTAATAAAATTGTCTCGTGGATTACTGAGCACTTGTGTAATTTGTTTTATTATTACTATCCGAGCACTCGATGTGACACTCTTTATGTGACATCCGATGTGAAATCTCTAAACTTTAGCCTCTGGATTTAAACACCCCCTAATTAATTTTAGGGCAAATTATTGGTGAAACAAACTATACATAATCTTGTGCTTATCATATTTTGAACATGTTAATAGATACTAATGGCAGTTATGTTATGTATGTGAATGGTGTTTTGGAGGAGTTGATTCATTAAGAATATTTATAATTTAGGATAAAATTTGGATGCTTCACTGCCTTATATTTTAGGTCGGATGGAGTATAATTCTAGCTTTATGTTCAGTCCAATTTTCCAAGGTTGTAGAAAAAGTACTAGTATTCATAACATAAAATAGATATGCCATAAAACAAATATTTTGTGATGAATCTAATAACACTTAAATATTGATATTTTTATAAAATTGATCAAATGTAAAATGTTTGATCTGATGTTATGCTAAATTGCATTCTTTTCTGGAGAGGGTAATACAAACTACTAGTATGGGATGTTTCGCTGAATTCCTGTCCATAAAGAATGGAGTTCTAGCACAATATTAAGTTTTACTTACTATATATAAATATATCAATATTTATAGTACCAAATAAATATCACTAGATTTGCCATGAAATATATTTTTTTATAGTATATTTGTTTAGCATCATAAATGTTATTATTTTTACCTAAATATTCGTTAAATGCTAGATATTTTCTTGACCCATGTAGTAGATTATAGATAGGTTCACATCCTGCCTCCGGGGCTACCTTCATAAGCATACTCAGTTAATCTGTACTTCTTCGCTAATTATTATACACGTAACTGGAAGTTGAAGTTTGTAGTTTGGACAGCTGTACAGCTGCATCAATCAGCTACGGTGGCATACGAGCACTTACACAACTAGAGTAGTGCGCTGTGCATCCTCTATTGCACGACTGTACGTGGATGTGCTTCAAGCCTCTTCATCAAGGAGACACAAAAAATGGCAAAAAGGTTTGGATTACATCAACGCTCAAGCGTCTACCATTCTTGACCAAATTGAAACTAGTGCAACAGATACCAGATCACGTCCTATCAAAAAAAAAACGGATCACGTATTATCAAACAATTTTCTGGTGTGTATGTAAGCACACAACAAATCATTAATTTGACATCGTGCAGCCTTTTTATTTATTTAAGAAAAGAAAAAACTAAAGGGTTTAAGCTGTCAACTGAACAGAACATTAGAGTAGGCAAACATTTATCTGTCCGTTCCAGCAGCATTATCAAAATTCAGACAAATCCATCATGTCACTCCTGCACCTGCTACTTGTTGCACTGGCCCCAGTAATAAACTACCGCTTCAAAGCTGCAGCAGGCCAGCAGCTGAAGCCCTGACCCTACACCGAGTCAAACCTATCGCCTCCTCCGATCGCCATTAACGAGTCAGTTGCTCTGCGCTACCACGCGGCCGAGATGCTGCTGGCAGCAAGCTCACCGCCCCTACAGCCTACAGCGAGCGAGCACGCACGGCAGCTACTAGAAGGATAGCTAGCGCACACCAAACCAAACCCCTTTTCAAACTCTTTTAAAGCCCCACCAGCGGGCGCAGCAGGCACCGTCATCACTCCCAGGCTCGACGAGGGCAGAGCTAGAGGGCCTCACCGACGCGATCTCCGGCCTGTCGAGCAGGGGTGTGGCGCGGCCAGGGGCGAGCAGTGGCGGCGCCATGAGCTCGTCGTCGGAGAATGGCGGGAAGAAGAAGAAGGCGGAGGAGGAGGCGGCCAAGGTGCCGTTCCTGAAGCTGTTCTCGTTCGCGGACCGGTGGGACTGCGTGCTGATGGCGGTGGGCTCGCTGGGCGCGTGCGCGCACGGCGCCTCCGTCCCGGTCTTCTTCATCTTCTTCGGCAAGCTCATCAACATCATCGGCCTCGCCTACCTCTTCCCCACCACCGTCTCCGGCCGCGTCGCCAAGGTACGTACCACGTAACTGGATCGTCCAGACGGCGCCGGCACGCGCGCGCATCTAGCTCTCCGGCCGTTTTGGAGAGATCTCGGCGAGCGCTAGCTAGCTAGCTAACTAGCGACGGCGCAACGACATGGGCTGATTTGTTTCGCGTCGCGTGCACACAGTACTCGCTGGACTTCGTGTACCTCGGCATCGTCATACTCTTCTCGTCGTGGACCGGTGCGTGCGTGCAACAAGACACTGCTGCTTCTACTATGCAATGCGGGCAGCGAGCAGCGTGCGTGCGTGCAGATATTAATAAGATGACCATACGCGTCGTGTTGCAGAGGTGGCGTGCTGGATGCACACGGGCGAGCGGCAGGCGGCGAAGATGCGGCTGGCCTACCTGTGCGCGATGCTGGACCAGGACATCGCCGTCTTCGACACGGAGGCGTCCACCGGCGAGGTCATCAACGCCATCACCAGCGACATCCTCGTCGTCCAGGATGCCATCTCCGAGAAGGTACGCCCACGTGACCTTACCTTACCTTGCTACTACCTGCGCGCGTTGCCATTCTCGCCGTGGCGCGCCTCGCTGCCGACCGCCGCGCTCAGCCGCTCAGGCGAGGCGGAAGGGGAAAAGGACGAGAGGAATTAACGCCGGGGCGCCACCGCGCCAGGCGGCTGGCCGGTGCGCTGATCTGATCGAGGGGCCGGCGCGCAGTTACTAGGGGCTGGGGTTGGTGAGGGGCATTGAAGGCGTGCGCGGGATCGGCACAGCAGCAGTACGCCGCAGGATTCACAGTCCGCAAAGTACATAGGAAGTAGAATAGCTACATGCCGCTTCTCGATCTGTTTGAGATTCATTTCTACGGAACCGATTTAAAATCAACCGGTGGGTGTTCACGTTCACCCCATATGTTTGGGTCTAGAGTATAGAGTTGTCACACGAGGTTGTCATACGAGTTGTCAGGATACTAATAAAATAAATAAATTATAGAATCCGTTAGGAATCCGTGAGACGAATTTATTAAACCTAATTAATTTATTATTAGTACATGTTTACTGTAGCACCACGTTATCAAATCATAGACTAATTAGGCTTAAAAATTTTGTTTCGTAAAACAGTCTCACTCTGTGCATTTAATTTTATATTTAATACTCCATACATATGTTCAAATATCCGATGCAACAACTATTAAAGTCTAGAGGTGAATTAAACACGCCCACAGTAGATAGTAGATGAAGAGAATTGCAGCCGTGGTACCTCAGCGTATGCTTATCGGTTCGTACGTGTTCGCCAGCTAAGACGTGGCAATCGGAGATAGGTGGATCCTGTAAAATCACTAGCATAGTGTTTTTACAGGTACAGTACTACTTTTTTTTCCACGACCGTACGTAAGCATATTTTTTTTGTTAAGAGGAAAAGAACACGTGAAAAGTTTGAAAAGAGAGTTACAACATGCCAAGTATTTGTTTAGAAAGGATGGCAAAATCTTTACCGCAGATTTTATTAGATGATAGAACATGCCTAAGTACTTATAAACGTGAAAAGAGGGTTCTAACGGCATCATCTAAAAACGTTTGAAAAAGTTAATTACATGAGTAGTGGAAGTGTTTTTTGCAATAGCTCATTTGCGTCAAAAACAACAAACGCTTCCATGACTCGTGGAAAATGTTTTTTTTTTCCAATATAGCATATGAGCATTAATGGCCTCATCTCAAGATTGACATGAAGCACAATCAATGGCTTACCATGATGCACCGTCTGTCTAGATGGATCGAACGTACCTTGCCATGTTGTACACTGTTCCTGCGGTATGATCATGATCATGTACGTTCCAACTGTCCTCCACAACATGGGTTACAAATCACTTTCCACAAGATTCTTAGTCCATGAATTGAGTATCTCGCTGAGTGCTTTTGTTGTTTACATGGAAGTCACCTATGGCTTGTTTAGAATAAAACTGTTCATACCCAATGCATATAGATTGGAGTAGAAATTAAATTGAATTACTCTCTCCAACCAAAATAAATTAACTTCTAGAGTTGTTCTGAGTTAAATCAAATTATTTTAAGTTTGCCTAAATTTGTAGGAAAAAGGCTTCAATGTTTATGACATGAAATTAGTATAACTAGTTACATCAAATTAGTATTTTGACAATCTACTAAATGTTGTTGTTGATCACTATAAAGTTGGTCAAACTCAACATAATTTAACTTATAGTGACTCTAGGAGTTTAATTACTTGGGATGGAGAGAGTATCATTTTATATCAAACTTTTGCTCCCAAATACTATACATATAAACTAGAGAGGATTATGCTCTATCCAATCAAAGATACTCCTAGTTGATAAGGAAAAATATAGATTTTTTGGGCTAAATGAAATATATTAACGTTGATGTGTGAGTTTGACAAACAAACTGTAGACATCTAACATAGTTGGTAAGGACATTATGTATTTTGTTTTCTCCTTAACAGAGAATATGGGTAATATAATCTTTTGCCGTCTTTTGAAAAAAAATGTATTGGTGTTGAAAAGTGAGTTTAGCAAACAAACTGTTGCATCATAAAACAGTTGATAAGAAAAGCTATGAATTATTTGGTGAATTATTATTAGTGTTGATGAGTGACTTTGACAAATACGGATTATTTCTTCACAATGGACAGAAATATTTCTTTACTTATATTTCTTCACAAGGATAAATATGGATTATTTTTTGGTTGGGGGGGGGGCAATATATATATGTACATTTTTAGAAAATGGATAGAAATATTTCTTTACTCAATAAAAATATCTAAAACATTGCCACGTTTCTTTTTCTTAAAAAAAAGAACGGTTCAGCAATGGCAGCATAGCCAGCTGCCATTTCAGCTTCTAGAGTGTCTCAAATGCATGTCTCTCGGATCTCAGCAGCTGAGCATGAGCTGAAGGTCTCATGTTCGCTTGAACGTATCAGCTCAGTTTATTAGTTATGATATAGTATTTTTCTCTGACAATAAAATAGCATCAGTCAGCTTATCAGCCGTAAAAATAATTAGCGGAACAGCGAAGTCGGCCTTTATTTTTTTTTCACTCGTGGAATCCGCCCCCACTACCGCTGGGTATCCAGTGGGCCTGTTTTGGGCAGAACCCGAGCTGACACCGTCAGATCTTCATGGTAAGACTTGCTCGATAGTGGGCCAAATAGTTAGAAGAATCGTCGACTGCGGAAAATTCATCATAGCTAGTTGGGCCGCAAAGATTGGAGAGTTGCACTCTATTTCTCCATCTTTTTGCGCCTCGGCCCATATCTACCTCAAATCAGACCCACATAACCTCCACCGTCCCACTAGCCCTTGCTGGTCGCGGATGGCGTGCCTGTTTGCCAGTGTTTACGTGCGTGTTCTGACAACCTGACGGTGATGGATGGTGTTTCCGTGGTAGGGATGAAAACGGTACGAAAATATTCAAACCGAACCGCGTCCTTTTGACCCGATCGAATTCATATTTTGAATAAATTCGAATTCGATTCAAAATACGAAAAACCCAATTCAAAATCGGTTTAGACTTTCTCCGACCGATTTCTACTTTTAAATCGAAACATCCCGAATTCGAATTTAGTTTAATCCAAATTTAGCCCACTAAAGTACATGGTTTAACCAAATTTGGCCCACTGGGATTTCCAATTTAGCCACAGCCCAGCCCAGTCTGGCATGGAACACAATGGATTGTTTGTGAGTGCATCTCATTATATAGATCATTGCCTCCCTCACTCCCAGCTGCGTAATCGAGGTGGGACTAAAGAAGTGTGCCTGGCTGCAGCTTGCTGGCTGGCTCTCTTGCTGCTGCGCTGCTCATTGGGCTAGCGCTATGCAGTGGGCCGCTGCTCGTTGGGCTGCCGACCTGCAGTGGGCTCTCGTGCAGTCGTGCTGCTCCGCTGCTCTTGGCCTGCCGTTGCTAGTTTGGCTGCTCGTTAGAAATATTGGCTTCTTCTTTTCTCGTTTCACAAAAAAAAGCTTTCGCTTTTGCCATTAATTAATATTTCGAGCAAAAATCTTGAATATACAAAGGAATATTTCTCCCTCCGTAATCACATGTACAATACTACAAAATCCCCATAGCAACGCGTGGGGCATTATCTAATCTTTATCAAGTATCATATATTTGTTATGCACTTGGTCCTATGGATCAGTATTCCGTATTGATTTTTTTCGTATACCGACCGTGTTCGATATAATTCCGCTTGATTTGGTTCGTTTTCGATATTCTGTAAGTTCACGTTCGTTTTCGTGTCCGACTTGACCGCTTTCGCTTTCGTTTTCGTATTCAAATGTAAAAGTAAAAAATGGTTGAGGAGTTTTTCGACCGTTTCCGACCGTTTTCATCCCTAGCTGCAGGTGGGCAACTTCATGCACTACATCAGCCGGTTCCTGGCCGGCTTCGCCATCGGCTTCTCGCAGGTGTGGCAGATCAGCCTGGTCACCCTCGCCATCGTCCCGCTCATCGCCATCGCCGGCGGCACCTACGCCTACGTCAGCATCGGCCTCATGGCCCGCGTCCGCAAGTCCTACGTCAAGGCCGGCGAGATCGCCGAGGAGGTCGACCGCCGCCTCAAATTCTCTAGATGTGTGCTTGTAATCGATCGCGGACGCGCGTACGTACTGACGCTGCCGTAGGTTCGTGCGCCCGCCCGCAGGTGATCGGCAACGTGCGGACGGTGCAGGCGTTCGTAGGCGAGGAGAAGGCCGTGAGGTCGTACCGGGAGGCGCTGCTGAGGACGTACAAGTACGGCAAGAGGGGCGGCCTCGCCAAGGGCCTCGGCCTCGGCTCCATGCACTCGGTGCTTTTCCTCTCCTGGGCCCTGCTCATCTGGTTCACTAGCGTCGTCGTCCACAAGCGGATTTCCAACGGCGGCGAGTCCTTCACCACCATGCTCAACGTCGTCATTGCTGGCCTGTGAGTGCACAGATTTTAAGTCCATGCCCTTCGTGCCCGGTCTACGTTGCCAAGCAATCAATTGGAAAAATTCTTATGCGCGTGGTGTGACTGGTAGGTCGCTCGGCCAGTCGGCGCCGAACATCTCGACGTTCCTGCGGGCGAGGACGGCGGCGTACCCCATCTTCCAGATGATCGAGAGGAGCACCGTGAACAAGGCGAGCTCCAAGGCCGGCCGCACGCTGCCGGCGGTTGACGGGCACATCCAGTTCTGCAACGTCCACTTCAGCTACCCGTCACGGCCGGACGTTGTCATCCTCGATAGGTTCAGCCTGGACTTCCCGGCCGGCAAGATCGTCGCTCTCGTCGGCGGGAGCGGCTCCGGCAAGAGCACCGTCGTCTCGCTCATCGAGCGCTTCTATGAGCCGCTGTCCGGCTCCATTCTGCTTGATGGGCACGACATCAAGGAGCTCGACGTCAAGTGGCTGCGCCGGCAGATCGGGCTGGTCAATCAGGAGCCGGCCCTGTTCGCGACGAGCATCCGGGAGAACATACTCTACGGCAAAGGCGACGCCACCATGGAGGAGATTAACCACGCGGCGAAGCTGTCAGAGGCTATCACATTCATCAACCATCTCCCTGATCGGTACGAAACGCAGGTCGGAGAGCGCGGGATACAGCTTTCCGGCGGCCAGAAGCAGCGCATCGCGATCTCGAGAGCGATACTGAAGAACCCGTCGATACTGCTCCTCGATGAGGCGACGAGCGCACTGGACGCCGAGTCCGAGAAGAGCGTGCAGGAGGCGCTGGACCGCGTCATGGTCGGCCGCACCACCGTGGTGATCGCGCACCGCTTGTCCACTATCCGGAACGCCGACACAATTGCAGTCGTCGACGGAGGCAGGATCGTCGAGACAGGCACGCACGAGCAGCTCATGGCGAACCCGTGCAGTGCCTACTCCTCGCTGATCCAACTCCAAGAGGCCGCCCAGCTTCAGCACAAGCCTTCTTTGTCTGACAGCACAAGCATTACCAGGCCACTAAGGTATCTTTATTCTCTACTGTGCATCGTAAAAGAAGGCCAAAATGTGTCATTATGATCTGATAAACTCAATTCGTTCGCTTGCAGTTTCAAGTATTCAAGGGAGTTGTCCGGGAGGACGAGCATGGGCGCCAGCTTCCGCTCCGACAAGGACTCAATCAGCAGGTACGGCGCCGGCGAGGCGCATGACGAAGTGCGCAAGGGGAAGCCCGTGTCCATGAAGAAGCTCTACTCCATGGTGCGCCCGGATTGGTTCTTCGGCGTGTCGGGCACCATCAGCGCGTTCGTGGCTGGCTCCCAGATGCCGCTCTTCGCGCTTGGCGTCACGCAGGCGCTGGTGTCCTACTACATGGGGTGGGAGACCACGAAGCTGGAGGTGCGCAAGATTGCCGTGCTCTTCTGCTGCGGCGCCGTGCTGACAGTCGTGTTCCACGTGATTGAGCACCTCAGCTTTGGCATCATGGGCGAGCGGCTCACCCTGCGGGTCCGGGAGAAGATGTTCTCAGCCATACTGCGGAACGAGATCGGCTGGTTCGATGACACCAGCAACACGAGTGCCATGCTGTCATCGCGGCTCGAGGCTGACGCAACGCTTGTGCGCACCATCGTCGTCGACCGCTCCACCATCTTGCTCCAGAACATCGGTATGATCGTGACATCGCTCATCATTGCCTTCATACTCAACTGGAGGATCACGCTGGTCGTACTCGCCACCTATCCCCTCATGGTCAGCGGCCACATCAGCGAGGTGCATACTAAACACAAGGTCTTCGCGTGCCTAATCGTCGTATCAGTGTCCAATCAACTAAGAATCCTGTATGATCTATGGAACAGAAAATGTTCATGAAAGGCTATGGCGGCAACCTCAGCAAGTCCTATCTGAAGGCCAACATGCTCGCCGCGGAGGCAGTGAGCAACATCCGGACGGTGGCTGCCTTCTGCTCGGAGGAGAAGGTGATAAAACTCTACGCGGACGAGCTGAAGGAGCCTTCTAAGAGGTCCTTCCGGCGAGGCCAGGGCGCCGGACTCTTTTACGGAGTGTCCCAGTTCTTCCTCTTCTCCTCTTACGCACTGGCGTTATGGTAAAGCGTTGTTATATATTGGATGGAACACAATGGATTTAGTTTTTGTACTCCATCCAGACGTAAAATGTTCCAAAATTCAGGTATGGTTCAGTGCTGATGAGCAAGGAATTGGCCAGCTTCAAGTCCGTGATGAAGTCCTTCATGGTGCTCATAGTGACGGCACTGGCCATGGGGGAGACACTAGCAATGGCTCCTGATATCATCAAAGGGAACCAGATGGCGTCCTCGGTGTTCGAGATCCTGGACCGTAAGACGGACGTCCGGATCGACACAGGTGAGGACATCAAGAGGGTCGAGGGGCTGATCGAGCTGCGCGGCGTCGAGTTCCGATACCCAGCTAGGCCCGACGTGACCGTGTTCAAGGGCCTTGACCTGCTGATGAAGGCCGGCAAGAGCATGGCACTTGTCGGAATGAGCGGCTCCGGCAAGAGCACCGTGCTGTCACTCATCCTCCGGTTCTACGACCCGATCGCCGGAAGAATCTTGGTCGATGGTACGTCTTGTTCAACGATAATTTATAGCTCCAATTTTTCCCCGGCAAAATCTTCTGCCAAGCCTAAGTGCGTTGATGCAATCTGCAGGGAAGGACGTCAAGAAGCTTAAGCTGAAGTCTCTGAGGAAACACATCGGCCTGGTCCAGCAAGAGCCAGCGCTCTTCGCGACGACGATCTACGACAACATCCTGTACGGCAAGGACGGGGCCACGGAGGCCGAGGTCGTCGAGGCGGCGAAGCTGGCGAACGCGCACTCGTTCATCAGCTCGCTGCCGGAGGGGTACAAGACCAAGGTCGGGGAGCGCGGCGTGCAGCTGTCGGGCGGGCAGAAGCAGCGCATCGCGATCGCGCGAGCCATCGTGAAGGACCCGGCTATCCTGCTACTGGACGAGGCGACGAGCGCTCTGGACGTGGAGTCGGAGCGCGTCGTGCAGCAGGCGCTGGACCGGGTGATGAAGAACCGGACCACCGTGATGGTGGCGCACCGGCTGTCGACGATCAAGAACGCCGACGTCATCTCGGTGCTGCAGGACGGCAAGGTTATCGAGCAGGGGGCGCACCAGCACCTGATCGAGAACAAGAACGGCGCCTACCACAAGCTCGTCAACTTGCAACAGCAGCAACAAATGCAGACGCAGCAGAGCTCATGAGACATTTTGAATAAAATCGTGCGTTTGTATCTTCCTGTGGCATTGTCTTTCTTGGGCTTTTGTAAAAGATCTGCGCTGGTAATCTTTTCAATGAAAGGGAGTGTTCAGAATTACAGCATAAAGCGTTATTGGATTGTTATTCCTTTGTACTAGATTATTACTTCTACAATTAAAAAGAAAGAAAGTAAGACCACCATTTCTTACGACAATCGTGGCTACGTTGGTCCGTCCTTCCCCTTGCGATACCGCCCCCGGCGCCTGGCGAGTGGCGAATGTCCTACCTCTTCGTAACCTTCCCCTTCGTCTCCCCCGCTCCCGCAGCGAGCCGAAAATCCGCTGCACCTCGCAATCCCAGACCCCGCGCCAGCGCCGATCCCGCCAGGATCAAGGCCCTCGCGCCCGATCCGCCACCGCGATGGCCTCCCATCCCCAAACCCTAGGTAGGCATGGGTTTCCCACGGGCGGGAATCTGCGCGGCGGGGGGGATGGAAGCGCTGGTGGGGCGGGCGGCGCGGAAGGCGCCGGCTGAGAACCGGCCGCCCAGAACCTCTGTTGGCCACACGATTAAGGAGATGGGGAGGATCGTGGGGGCGTGGGGATGCTCACCGAGCAGCTAGAGGGAGCGGGGGAGGAGTGGATGTGCCCTTCCCTCGCTGCGCGCTCTCCCACGCAGCCGCCTCCACCGCCTCTGCCCGAAGAAGCGCCTACGCCGTCTCCGCCCGGCCGCCGTCTCGGCGGCGGCGTCCACATACTCCTCTGCGGACCCGAGCGCTCTGCTCCCATGGCTAGCTCGCGCAGGCGCTCTGGCTCCTCGAGTCCTTGGCGGAGCCGCCCAACGAGGACGCCTACGTCGCGTTGTTCCGCCTCTGCGAGTGGCGCCACGCGGTGGAACCGGGGCTGCGCGCGTGCGCACGTGGACGACGGCACGCTTGGTTCGGGCTCCGCCTCGGGAACGCCATGCTCAGCATGCTTGTCAAGGTTCGGGGAGACCTGGCACGCGTGGAGGGTGTTCGCCAAAATGCCCGAGCGGGATGTCTTCTCCTGGAACGTCATGGTGAGCGGGTACAGGAAGGCCGGGTTGCTGGAAGAGGCGCTGGACCTGTAGCACAGGATGATGTGGCCAGGTGTGAGGCCGGACATGTACACGTTCCCCTGCGTGCTGCGGAGCTATGGGGGCGTCCCAGACTGGAGGATGGGAGGGAGGTGCATGCGCATGTTCTTCGGTTTGGGTTTTTGTTGAGGAAGTCAATGTCAAATGTGAGTAAGAATCCGTGGCTCCTGCGCTCTCTGTTCGGCGTGATGTTTGGGTGCGGCCGTTCGGATCCGAAGGTTTCCGATGTGCCTCTAGGCAGTAGGCACACATCCTCTTAGGCAAGGTATTTTTCTCTTTTGATTTGAACATAAAAAATAAAATTAGAAATTATGTCGAACAAGACTATAAAAATAAAAGAAAAAAACATAGAGTAGCTAGAACTGGACGAAGAACTTTTAATTCCAAAAGAAGAATTAATACTTCAATAAAAAAGGTTTTAAAAAATTTGAGATGCATCACTCAAACAGCTAAAACACACTTAGGAAACCCAACTGTGCAAACCTACCAAATTCTGCCAAGAAAAAAAAAGCGGAACTGTTTGTCTAGAAATCATAGGAACAAGAGGATGGAATATTCCAAAATCTCTCCGTTTCCTCAAATCGACCAGACAGGAAAGAGGAGAATGCCGATGATGCGGTAATCTTCAGTAACCCAAGACGACAGGACATTACCTGCATCATTGAGATCTTGAATGCTTTTGGTGCAGCCACGGGATTACAGATAAACATGCAAAAGAGCACTGTGGCCCCGATCAGATGTGTGGGCCTAGATATGGAACAGATACTACAATATTTCCCTGGACCAAGAGTGGCTTTTCCAATGCAATACTTAGGACTACCGCTCACGCTTGGAAGGTTAAGAATGGTGCACCTGCGGTACATCCAAAGATAGAGCTAAAGGGAGGGTGGCTGGCTGGCAAGGGCGCCTGCTAAATGTTGCTGGGCGCAGGGAGTTGGTGCGCTCTGTGCTTAGCTCCCTCCCGGTTTACCTGCTGACGGCTGTGAAGGTATCCAAAAATTTCTTGAAAGAACTGGACAAACTACGTAGAAGGTTCTTGTGGGCTGACGACAAGGAGCTAACTGGAGGGAAATGCAAGGTTGCATGGAACAAAGTATGTACGCCAACAGGCAATGGTGGTCTAGGCATCATCGAACTTGAGAGGTTCAGTCGTGCACTGCGGCTTCGGTGGCTCTGGTTTTCGTGGGACGACACTGACAGACCCTGGAAAAGAATGGAGTTGCCGGTTGACAATATTGACATTGCACTCTTCAATGCTGCTACAAGTGTGGTCTTAGGAAATGGGAACAAGGCTAAGTTCTGGTCCTCTCGCTGGCTACATGGTCAAGCACCTGCAACATTATAGCCGGCCTTGTTCAGACATAGCAAGAGGAAAAACAGAACAATTTGTGATGCCCTGGATGATGATAACTGGATCAGAGATGTCGACTATAGCATGACGGAGCGGGTCGTTGAGGAATTTATATTACTGTGGACTTGCTTACAAGAAATCTCTGTCCAGTCGGCAAATGAGGATAAGATCACCTGGCTCCACACAGCGAACGGCCAATACACGGCAAGATCGGCATATAGAATACAATTCCTTGGAATGGCCTCATCTATGACAGCTAAAATCACATGGAAAACAAAGGCGCCGCCAAAATGCCGATTCTTCACTTGGCTGATGCTGCAGAACCGCATTTGGACAGCTGCAAGGCTAATGCTTAGGCAATGGCCAAATGACTACTTCTGCCAACTCTGTGTAAGGAACCTGGAAACGGTCTCACATCTCTTTCAGGAATGCGGCTACTCGAGGAGTGTCTGGGACAAGGTGGGCTCCTGGGTCTCGGCGGCTGCTCTAAGGCCGACACACTGGACACAGACGGAAGATCTGGGGCAATGGTACGCTGACATGGCCAACAGTGGAACAAAAGATGCAAGAGACGGGGTACGCTCGATGATCATGCTGACAGTCTGGGAAATATGGAGGGAGAGGAACAATCGGGTGTTTCAAAGATCCTCGAGAACGCCGGAGCACGTCTTCAGAGCCATACAGGAGGAAGCAAGGACGTGGATATGGGCCGAAAAAAGAGGACTAGAAGGACTGCTGCCTCCACTAGAACGGCCTCCTGTACATGCTATAAATCCTATGTAAGATACAACTCTAAAACGTAGGGGTGGCATGACTCTCACTGGGATGTGAAAGCCATGCAAATTGACCATCCTTGTGCCAAACCTTTGTAAATAATATGCTCTTTTCTTATCAATAAAAGCCAGTAGCGGATCTTTCGAAAAAAAAAAAGGAAAGAAGAGAAGTAACCCAAGTCCAATAGAAGACTACGGTGGTCTCCATTTTTCTTGTCCCCTCCCTTTTTTTTAGGAATCTTTACATATTTATTATCATAGCGATATGAGTGGTATGAGAAATATTATGTCTGTGATTCATATGTCAGTGACCCATGGTAGGATATCATCCGTAATAGAGGTAAATACTTGGATTGCCCCTTCTTTTGCCCCCTCTCCTCTAGCCTAGCTCGTTCCCCCCGCAAGCTCGCGACCTCGCCAAGCGGCCAAACCACGCTAGCTAGAGTTTGCAGTTGGAAGAGGGGAGGAGGAAGAGGACGAGATGGCGAGGGATGACGGGTTCCCGGTGTGGAAGGCGGCGCTGCTCGCGGGCGTGGCTGCCGTCTTCGCTGCGGGGCTGGCCGGCGTCTACGTCTCCATGCCTCGCTCCGACTACAGCTTCCTCAAGCTGCCCCGCAACCTCCAGGAGCTCCAAGTCCTCACGTAATCCAACCCTCTCCGTTCGTAGTTGCTCTAATTTGGTACCCCCAAGGCCCAAGCCAATTTTTCACTTTTGTTTTAATTTTAGAATTGTTTTGTTTTTGCTCTTTTTGTGATTTAAAGCTTAACAGATGGCCTAAATCCTACTTCGATCGTTCTAATTAACCCGTGATGTCTAGCAAGACAAACAGATATACGATGTTCAAGCTGTTCTTTGTTTGGTTGCATTGGTAGATTTGGCAGTGTACGCGTATCTTGTAGCAAAAGAAGGATCTGCTGTGCTCCTTGTCATGTTTGATATGGCCAATTTATATTATCTGCAATTCAATATAGGTAGAATGTGAATTTATAACATGGTTATTCAAATCCATGTCGGTTCATGCACTTTTCTGTGTTCCGTAGTTTCCGGAGTCGGTGGAGTTTGTAATCCTTTCTTTTCGATATTTGGTTTCTGACCAGCTGTAACTGTCGTATGTTTTGAACCTGTTCACAGCGCGTTTTGTGATGTGCCTTCCTGTTCAGTTTATTACTGTTAGCTCACAAAGCACGTTGTAATCTTGTGTACACACGTGAGCACATCTTCCTTGTCACAGATGCTGAAGTCGCTGATATTTGTAAGGTCAGGTCACCAGTAAATGTAGAGTACAGCAATGCAGCTTTGCTTCTTTTTTGTCAGTTCAGCGGTAAAGTTACGGTACAACTTTGTTTCATGATGAGTTATCATCTGGTAGTACAATTCAGTATTTGTTACTCAGTTTGACTTCAGAGTGTTGCCAACATGTTGCTGTAGGACTATATGTATGTTTCAGTTCCAATGTCTCTAACTGTGGAAAGTGGATCGCCTGCCTTGCAGTGTCCATCTGGAGGGCTACACCAGTGACTACACCATCCAGGTGCTGGTGGGCTACTGTGCCGTGTACATCTTCATGCAGACATTCATGATCCCAGGGAACATTTTCATGTCCCTGCTTGCCGGGGCCCTCTTTGGGCAGCTCGGTGGTCTAGCACTGGTGATCTTTGCTGCCACTGCCGGTGCTTCTTCGTGTTATTTCCTGTCCAAGCTGGTAGGGAAACCACTGGTCTTCTCGTTGTGGCCAGACAAGCTCACGTTCTTCCAAAAGCAGGT